TTCGTTATGATTGCATCATCCATGACTTCTAGGAATAACATGATGCAATTCATATCATGTATGACGCAATACCAGCTTCAGATTGCATCATTCATTGTTTTGCCTAAAAAGCAAGTACTGTCCAAACCCAGTCATAGATTTATTCATAGATCCAGTCAAAGATGTAATTTAGTCGTTTCTGGTTTAAATTGAGATCCCTTCCCTTTGGAACTCACTTATCCTCCGCCATTCCCAAGTCAAGGGTCGTATACTGACCCAGTAGCATATCTTGAAAACTAGAGCCAATCAACAATTTTAAGCATCATTTTCATTCTCAGTGACCCAGAATTAGTAAAGTTTGACTACATTTATTTCAGAAGCATTTTGGCTGTAGAGCAGTGTATCCTGGGACCGACATGGCTACAGCAACCCTGCAAACAATGTATGAATTTGCAGCAGTAAACCTGATTTTTCCAACTTTTGTGTATGGATCATGATGTGGATATAGCTTCACAAAATAGCTTTGCTGAATGAGTTACTGCTGAATGTAAATGTTTTTCTCTTTTAATGCTGTTTTTATTTGCTACCATTTTCAACACAGGGCTGGGTGTGCCTGTTCATCAGCACTGCTTTTTATTACAAACTGCAACACAAGATTGATTTCTCTCCGTATTTGTGAAAGCCAATGATCAACTGGTTACTTTATTTGTGTGGCATGACATAAATTTAAATAAACTCCTCCAACACGTGAGAGTCAGTTTTACAGCTACTGCTGGATGGCAGCTAATAAAAATAAAATACTCTTGCTGTCTCTCTGCCTTTTCATGCATCTCTCTTCAATCAAACCTAGGAAATTCCATAGTTAACCGGAAAATCTGTAGCACTGTGTAAAGTGGGAATATGCAAGTAAAAGTCTTCCTAATACCTTACACCCCAGCCATGTTCTCAACTATATGGCACTGACTCTTGTATTCCTATCAAAGTATTCACCAGCAAAAACCTTGTTCTTTCAAGTATTCAGCCCTGGTTCGTTCTTCAATTAGTAGAATTTATTCATTGCAAGATGTACTTGGACACATGCAATATCGGTGCCATCAATAGGTGCACGCACTTCTTTCCCTTCAGTACATTTTTTATTCTCTTTAGAAGACTGGGCAGAAAGACTTGAACAATATTAGCAAAGCAATGAAAAATTATTTTGCTAATGAGTGTGAGTGATTCTCTAATAGAAAATTATCTATGAAGCTACGCAGTATTGCATCAAAATGATTAAGGCCCTGATCTGCAAAGATTTTTGCAGAGTGAGGAAGCTTTAAAAAAAAATGAAAAATTTCCATGGGAAATTCTGGAAGAAAAAAAAAATCTTTTTTCCCAAAATTTTTAACAAAAGACAACTAGTATTTTCCATCCAGCACTATTAAGAATGCAACTGGGTTCCAATGTAGTTAAGTATTACAGCTGTGTACAATGTTTGCAATGAAACCTGAAACCACATAAACACACAACTGAATTGGGATTTAGTTGAAACTTGGGTCATGTTTGTCAAAAAGTCAGATAAATTTTGTGCAAACCTGGGCTAACTTGTGCTTTGAATTGAAATGGTTTTGCATAGTTTTGACACAAAGGTGTTTTCTTTGAGTTTCACTTTGAGATTCCAAGTTCACTTTGTCTTCAAATTCAAAGCCAAATTTACGGGTATTAAGTCTTGTGAATTAAAGAACATAAGAACGGCCGTACCAGGTCAGACCAAAGGTCCATCTAGCCCAGTATCCTGTCTACTGACAGTGG